TAAATTCAGTTTGGTTTTATAGTTGCATAGGAGTTTAGGTATAATTTTATGCCTATGTATGTCTAGGCAACATATAATTTAAATCAACCCTTAAATGTCTTTTTTTTTCCTTTAAAATATGCCCAGGCATTACTTAAGTGTAGGAAATGCTATAAAACCGAGTAGAGTATGAACTGCTTACAGCAGGACCCTAACGAGGCAGCCCAGACATAATTAGGGGTATCTGGGGAGAAAAGGGAAATCTTGATCTTTTTCCCCTAAAGCTGGAAATAGTTATTATTTATTGAGTGCTTACCAGTCACAGCACTGAGTACTTTTTTTCTTCTTTTTTTTGAGACTGTCTCGCTCTGTTGCCCAGGCTGGAGTGCAGTGGCACGATCTCAGCTCACTGCAACCTCTGCCTCCCAGGTTCAAGCGATTCTCCTGTCTCAGCCTCCTATGTAGGTAGGATTAGAGGTGTGTGCCACTACACTCAGCTAATTTTTTGCATTTTTAGTAGAAACAGGTTTTGTCATGTTAGTCAAGCTGGTCTCCAACTCCTGACCTCAAGTGATCTGCCCCCATCGGCCTCCCAAAGTGCTGGGACTAAAGGCGTGAGCCACCATGCCTGGCCAGCACTGAGTTCTTTATCGGTGTTATCTCAAATCCTCCTAACTTTGCAATGTAAATATTATTTCCCCATTTCACAGAGGAGGAAGCTGAGGCTCATGGAGGTGTGTAACTTGTCTGACACATACAACTAGAAAATGGAGAACAAGGAGTCAAGCTCAGTCCATTTGACCTTAGCAATGACATTCATCAGTCTTTCCTGGCATCAAAATAATCTTTAAGACTGTAGAAGGATGGCAAATCATTCTTGAAATGAATTCCATTTTGAAGTATGACTAGTTTCATTAAAATGAATAAAGGTTTGTAGATTTTTTTTTTTAAGTCCTCTACCTTCCAAGTCCATACTAATAGGTGACAAGCAGTATTCTATCATCTACAGGGACTATCAGGCTGTTGTAACTGACAAAAGCATTTCCAAGTCCTATGTGGAGACTGTCTAAAACTTTCCTCAACTTCATATTGATCTGTGGACCATTTGTTATTAACATGAGTATTAACTAGGGTGAAACTGATAGTTTGGCTTTAATTATATTAAATGTTGAGCATCTGGGAACCTAGCATCTCTTCCCACTGAAAAGCATTCCTGTGTGAGCAGAGTATGGTATTTACTGAAAGTCTCCTAGAGTCACATGGCTGAAGCTTGGATGAAGAAGGACTGGAGGCTGTCAGCAGGGTTCACAGCAAGCTGGGGCTGCTCAGGTACTCTAGCTCCTTATGGAGCTTTACCAACTCAACAGTGGCTCATCCAGGCCAGCAGACAGCATTATGGGTCACCCTCGACCACGGAAGCAATTAAAGGCACAAATCCCTTTAGGTATACGGAAAATTCAAGTATATCAACTCAAGTATACTTCACTTAGGAGTATAATCCTCAACTTAGAGATGAGAAAGCTAAATCTTAAAAAGGCCAAAATGATATGTAGAGGCTTTTTGTTTTTTGTTTTTATTTTTAATTGAGACAGAGTCTCACTCTGTCACCCAGGCTGGAGTGCAGTGGTGCAATCTTGGCTCACCATAACCTCGCCTCCTGGATTCAAATTAAGCAAATTAAGGGGAATCAAGTGATTCCTCTGCCTCAGCCTCCCGAATAGCTGGGATTACAGGCATAGGACACCATACCCAGCTAATTTTTGTGTTTTTAGTAGAAACGGGATTACACCATGTTGGCCAGGTTGGTCTCAAACTCCTGACCTCAAGTGATCTGCCCGCCTTGGCCTCCTGAAGTGCTGGGATTATAGATGGGAGCCACCATGCCTGACCGATTTGTAGAGGTTTTGAGTCCAAGTCTTTGGATCAACCCTAAGTGTAGTGCTCATTTTCATAATTCTATTTGGCTTCAATCTGGGGGGTGTAGACTCCTCCGAGGCCATGGTGTGCTTGCAAAGGAATGTGTACCAGCATATGCTTGAATTATGAGAAATGTAAATTACATGAGAGTGGGGGTTTCCAGTTTTTTAAGAGCTGGGGCTCTGGACCTAGATGGCTAGATTCAAAACTGAGCTCCATCATTAGCTAGCTGTGTGACTTGGGGAAAGTACCTCAACCTCTCTGTGCCCTAATTTCCTCATTTAGAAAACGTTTATACTGATATGTGATATATAATTTATATAAATATTAATGGCATCTACATTATAGAATTTCAGTAATTAATGAGTACTGTACATAAAAAACCCATAACATAATGTTTAATACAATGAGTACATAAAATGGTCCCAATATCTATGATTAATTATTAGTGTTTACCACTGAATTTTTCAGCATACAGATTAGTGCCTGATACATAATATACCCTTCAAATATTTATTGAGTTAATTAAATAAATACATTTTTCTTAATTTTTTTAACCAGAATACAGAAGTCATTACATAAATAAATATTTTATCAGAGGATTCTAAAAAAACATATTGTGAAGAGAGATCCTTAAAACATTTTTACTTTAAGAAGTATTTATCCCGGCCGGGCACAGTGGCTCACGCCTATAATCCCAGCACTTTGGGAGGCCAAGGTGAGTGGATCACGAGGTCAAGAGATCGAGACCATCCTGGTCAACAAGATGAAACCCCGTCTCTACTAAAAATATAAAAATTAGCTGGGCATAGTGGTGCACGCCTGTAGTCCCAGCTACTCGGGAGGCTGAGGCAGGAGAATTGCTTGAACCCAGGAGGCAGAGGTTGCGGTGAGCCATGCCATTGCACTCCGGTCTGGGTAACAAGAGCGAAATTCCGTCTCAAAAAAATAAAAAAGAAGAAGAAGTATTTTATCATATTCAAAAGAAATCTCATCCTGGGACAATGACATTATTTTTGAATTTATAATATTTCTAAAGGACTTCAAATATTGGGAAGAAAATTAATTTCAAATCACTTTTACTTTTTTTTTTTTTTGAGACAGAGTCTTGCTCTATCACCAGGCTGGAGTGCAATGGCATGATCTCAGCTCACTGTAATCTCTGCCTCCCGGGTTCAAGTGATTCTCCTGCCTCAGCCTCCTGAGTAGCTGGGACTATAGGCGCGCACCACCACGCCTGGCTATTTTTTTTTTTTTTTTGTATTTTTAGTAGAGACAGGGTTTCTCCATACTGGCTAGGCTGGTCTCAAACTCCTCACCTTGTGATCCACCCACCTCAGCTTCCCAAAGTGCTGGGATTACAAATGTGAGCCACTGTGCCTGGCCCAAATCACTTTCACTTCAAAAAAATAAAAACACCAGTGGCTAGCACAATTGGATGGCACACAATAGACAATAAATATTTGTTGTTGATGATGAATATAATATTTTGTGGCTGTTGCAGCATTAGCAAAGAAGAGAGCATCACCATTTCCAAAAAAAATTTCTGCAGAGCTGGCAAAAGAATCACAAAGGCTGGTCCCAACATGACTGCTACTTTGAATATTTCTTATTGAGTGTCAATCCTTGTATTAAGAGAGGTAAACTCTATCCTGAGAAAAGTTTCGGGGGATTATTTCCTCCTTTCCTAGATTCAAGAACTCTGTTTTTGTGTAGTAATTTAGGAATCAGGAGGGCAGAAATAGAAGTGGTTTTGTACCGGGTAAGAAGCACAAGGCTGGGTATGCAGTATACCTGCACACCCTGAGCAGCAATTTACACAGAAAGCTCTTCAATTTCAACTTTCATGATTCAGAAGAGATCAATGATCCTGGGTGCAAACTGCCAGCCAGCAGGTCTGATAGTCTAAGAGTGACTTTTCTAGCATCAAGAAATTTTAAGCCGGGTGTGGTGGCTCACATCTGTAGTTGCGGCTACTAGGGAGGCTGAGGTGGGAGGATCACTTGAGCATAGGAGTTCAAGGCTGCAGTGAGCTATGATTGCACCATTTGCACTCAAGCTAGTCTGGAAAAAAGAAAAATAAGAAAGAAATTTTGCTGCTTAGGAATTTTTGGTTTTGCAGTATGCGATTTCTCCCTTTGCAACCAACTTTGCTTCCCTTTCTTATTAGACATTTCAACTTTAGTGAATTTACTTAGAAAATTACATTCTCAGAGTAACTGGAATTCCTCCTTCCAGGACGGAGTTCACCCTCCTTCCCTCCTACACTGGGAATTTTTCCTGAGACAGGTTTCCACAAAAGTACTCCGTGTCTTTTTGACGTGACGACTATTCACAAGCCACAATTGTTTGTTTTTAACTCGGAATTCATCTCCATTTAGTCAGGAACAAAATCAAGGCGACGGAGGCTTTAAAATTTAGACAGGAAGTTCTGCCCTTTTGACCTGGGAAACTGAAAGGAAGGTGAGGAGGAAGATGATAAAGAAAAATACCAGGGGGAGGTTGGATATGTGTACCTCTTACACACATTCCACATTTTCCCAGCTTTTTTTTTTTTTTAAGGTAGAAGCCGTCTTTCTAAAGACTATCGATGAACAAACACCAAGTGAGCCAGGAGACAGCCCACCACCACCGTCCGCCCAGCAGGCTCCTGTGCATGCATCCCTTTTGCACAGATATAATGAAGGCAAGCAGTTCTGAGAGAGGTGGGGGAAAGGAACCTTGAAAAGGGTTGTGCCCTCCCAACAGAGATGGACTTTCGACACTCAAGCCTGCCCTTTCCTTCTCCTGGTCTCTCCCTCCCCGTTTTCTGTCTTTGTTCTTCCCTTCCTTGGTTACTTCTGCCTCTTGCCTATTTCTGGCCTGCTTTGACCTGCTCTCTCCTGCGGTCCTGGGGGCATTCTTCCTCTTTCTGCTCCGCCCTAGTTATCCCCCTGAATAATCAATTTCTCTTTATTTTACTTATTTATTTTAGATATGAAGTCTTGCTGTATCACCCAGGCTGGAGTCTGCTGGCACTATCATAGCTCACTGAATCCTAGGTTCGAGTGATCCTCCCATCTCTGCCACCACGCCCGTCTAATTTGTAACTTTTTTTTTGTAGAGACAAGTTCTCCCTATGTTGCCCAGGCTGGTCTCACACTTCTGACCTCAAGTGATCCTTCCATCTTGGCTTCCCAAAGCACTGGAATTACAGGTGGGAGCTACCACACCCAGATCAATGTCCTCTTTATTTAATCTGCTTTCATCTCATTTCTTTAATTTCTACCATTGGTTCTTAACGGGATTTTGAAAAGCAGCCTCTCCTCCCTATGTGTAGTATCAGAGGCTGCTTGATAAATTGTACTGTAGGTCCAGGAGTTCCACACCTCAGTGAATGTTCCACTGCCAACTGGGACTAAACTAGGCTAAAACTAAATCTGTCAGCCCGTCCAGATTCCTCTCAATCCCGCTATGACTTCTTTGGTCCCCCTTTGCCTCATCGACTAGATCCCTCTCTCGTCTCCTTCCCCAAACCCCATTGATCGATATTACTACAGTGTCTTTTTATTTGTCTTAACTTGAATGTTTTTTGAAGATAAAGGTCTCCCTATTTTGCCCAGGCTGGGCTTGAACTCGCATCCTTCTGCCTCCTCAGCCTCCCCAGTAGCTGGGACTACAGATTTGCACCACTGTGCTGAATTGCGGTAGTTTTTTTGTGTGTATGTGAGGCAGAGTCTAGCTCTGTTGCTCAGGATGGAGTGCAGTGGTGCAATTTTGGCTCACTGCAGCCTCTGCCTCCTGGGTTCAAGCAATTCTCCTGCCTCAGCTCCCTGAGTAGCTGGGACTGCAGGTACATATCATCATGCCCAGCTAATTTTTTTTTTTTGTATTTTTAGTAGATATGGTGTTTCACCATGTTGGCCAGGATGGTCTCCATCTCCTAACCTGGTGATCTGCCCGCCTTGGCCTCCCAAAGTGCTGGGATTACAGGCCACCATGTCCAGCCACAGTTTTTTAAATGTTTTCCTTCCTCTCTCCTTTCACTGCCCTAGTTCAAGCCTTCATCATCCTCACCTGAACTGATTTTATACATCCTAATCCTGCTCTGGTACCTTCCGCTCCTTCCCTTTCCCATCAGAGTTGGCTCTCTAAAGCACAGATATGATTGCATCACTTCTCTTGCTTAATAACCTTTAATGGTTCCTGGCTCCCTGGCTCCTAAGGACAAGTCCACGCCCTACAACAAGGCATTCAAAGCCTTTCACCACCTGGTTCAAATCTACTTTTTCATCCCCATCTGCCACCATGTGCTAGATCCTTGGCCACCATGCATTGAATAAGAAAATGGTTTGTTTTGTCTTAATGTTTTGTCCCATGCTTGTAGTAGCTACAGTTTATTGTCAAGGCCCCAAAATGAAAACACACCAGTTTTTGACCCAGTAAATGCAGAGGCATGGCTGCCCTGAGCTGTCAATCTGGGTCCTACGTAGGCTCCCCAATACTAACTAACTGTGAGTTATGGCCAGTCCCGTGGGTCGCTTCACTTCTTCAGGCCTAGTTGTCCTCATTCATACCATGAGGCTTAGATGACTTCAGGATTGCCTTCCAGCATTAAAGGATGGTGGATAAGATGTGCAGACTCACCAAGCCAGACTTCATGGGCTGTGGAACCTTGCTGCATTTCCCCAGTACCAACTGACCTCCCAGTTCTGTCTGTAGCCATCATCTCATCCAGGAATGACCTCAGACCCTGGAAGAACTGACTCATACTGCCTAGCCTCGGACAAGTCAGATTTGTACCGGAAAGCTCTTTTATTAGTATGCAGTAGCAGAAGAACTTTCATATGCTTTCCAGAACATCTTTTCCCTTAATTAATGGTATATGCATGTCCATATAGTCTCTAGATCTTTTTTCCTCTTGGTAAGTCAAATGAGTTATCAAGAGATTGTATGGACATAGATTCAGAATTAGAAGGGCTCATGATCCAGAGGCTATGATCAGGCCTGATGAATTCCTTCTGTTCTATGTGTCTGTGAGGAGGGTTTGATTGCAAGCAACAGAAAATAACTGGCTGCCTGAAGCAAGAAAGGAGGATTCTTGTGAAGATGATGGGCAGCTCATGGAGGGTTTCCCCTAACCGCCCTGTCTGGTGTGGCCTCCTCAGCTGGGCTCCATCACCTACCTTGCTTATTTCTTTCACAGCTCTTGTGATGTCTGTAACTGCCTTGTTCACTTGTTTATCATCAGTCTTCCTCCTTACACACTCCGTGAGGGCAGGGACATTGTCATTCTTGCTCATTGCTCTACCACCAGACTTAGGACAGTGCCCAACACACACGGTGTGCTCAGAAATATTTGTGAGATGACTAAATGAGTAGAAAGGAGGAGCTGAAATGTTAAGCCCTAGAGATAATTGGAGATAAGGAAGACCAGCAGCAGGAACCCCTGGACCATCTTTTAGGCAGTGCCATGCCATGACTCAACTAACTGCACGTGTGTTTCTGCTTCAGGTTTACACGCCTAGAATGGAGAATGAGTTGGCCCAGATGAGCATCATGTGCCTGCTCTAGAGGCCATGAAGTTGACATCTTGGGAGTGGCTGGAGAGCAGAGCCTCACATGGAAGGTAGGAGTTAGGTCAAAGAAATGGCTACCAGGCAGTCCACTGCCTTCCAGCAGAGTGGTCACTTTTCTTAGAGACCTGTTCATTGGATACAGCAATTCTGCTCCCTAGATAAATCTCTGTAAAATGTCTTCATGGACTCAGTCCATGGGTTCCACCTAAATAGGTCTCACCTACTTAAAAGACTTACCTGCTCAAAGCAGACAGGCATGCTCAGGGCCTGCCGACGTGATCTGCGCACTCCCTGTCTAGCATATCCCAGTACATCTTTTCATACATTTGTTTCTTATTTTCTGGCTCATGCATAAAACATACATCTACTTTACATTAGAAAAATGTATGTTTTCACTTAACCCAGATTCCTCGTTTTCTATAAACCCACATTGGATGACTTTGTTGTGGCTGATTCTGTTCACTGTCTACCCAATGGCCACTCGGGGCTGCAATTCACTCAGCCCCAGGGATGAATCATAATGGAAGCCTCTTACTCCTTTGCTCATGGTTAGACTAGAGGTAAGATGTAACCCAGCTCTGGGATGTGAGAAATCATGCAAAGTCTGCTGAAGGCTTCAGGAAGGATTTTCCTCCCTGATGAGAGAATCATATGGAGAGAAGGGGTTTTTGTATCTATCCTTTCCTCTTCCTTCATTTTTTTTTTTTTGTAACAAAAATCACGATTTTGTTATTGGGTGCCACCTATTTTTGCTTAACCTCACTATTTCCTTAGTGGTAGGTTAGCAAATACTGAAATGATCTTCACAGACTGGCCAAATTATGCACTTCACGAATTTGCACATCATCCTTGCACAGGGGCCATACTAATCTTCTCTGTATCTTTCCAATTTTATGCGCTGCCGAAGCGAGCACTCTTCCTTCATTCTTGATGGGGTTGCCTGCATGCGAGGACAATGTATTTTGAGCTGTGGCAAATATGAGGTAATAAGCATGGGGACAAAAGGCAACACGGAGAGGATGGTTGAGTTGGAAGAATATAAAGATTAGGGTTTTTGGACTTAAGCTAAAAAGCTTCTGCATAATAAAAGAAATAATCAGCAGAGTAAACAGACAACCCACAGAATGGGAGAAAATCTTCACAATCTATACATCCAACGAAGGACTAATATCCAGAATCTCCAAAGAACACAAATCAGCAAGAAGAAAACAATCCCATCAAAAAGTGCACTAGGACATGAAGAGACAACTCTCAAAAGAAGATGTACAAATGGCCAACAAGCATATGAAAAAATGCCCAACATCACCAGTGATTAGGAAAATGCAAATCAAAACCACAATGAGATACCACCTTACTCCTGAAGGAATGGCCATAATAAAAAAAAAAATCGATGTTGCGTGGATGCGGCGAACAGGGAACACTTCTACACTGCTGGTGGGAATGTAAACTAGTACAGCCACTAGGAAAACCGTGCAGAGATTCCTTAAAGAACTAAAAGTAGATCTACCATTGGATCCAGCAATCCCACTACTGAATATCTACCAGAGGAAAATAAGTCATTATATGAAAAAGATACTCGCACATGCATGTTTGTAACAGCACAATTTACAATTGCAAAAATATGAAACCAGTCCAAATGCCCATCACTCAATGAGTAGATAAAGAAAATGTAGTATCTGTATACCATGCAATAGTACTTAGTCATAAAACAAGAATGAAATACTGCCAATCCTGGATGGAATTGGAGACTATTCTAAGTGAAGTAACTTAGAAATGGAAAACCAAACATCACATATTCTCACTCACATATGGGAGCTAAGCTATGAGGACGTAAAGGCAGAAGAATAATACAATGGACCTTGGTGACTCGAGGGAAAGGGTGGGAGGTGGCAAGGGCTAAAAGACTACACACTGGCTACCGTGTACACTGCCTGGGTGATGGGCACACCAAAATCTCAGAAATCACCACTGAACAAATTATTCATGTAACCGAACACCACCTGTTCCCCAAAAATCTATTCAAATAAAAAAAACTCAAAACATTTGTAAAATAAAAATCTGGGTTCTTGATGATTTTTTTTTTTTTTTTTTTTTGAGACAGAGTCTAGTTCTATCACCTAGGCTGGAGTGCAATGGCATCATCTCAGCTTACTATAACCTCCGCCTCCCAGGTTCAAGTGATTCTCCTGCCTCAGCCTCTTGAGTAGCTGGGATTACAGGTGTGTACCACCAAGCCTGGCTAATTTTTTGCATTTTTAGTAGAGACAGGGTTTCACCATATTGGCCAGGCTGGTCTCAAACTCCTGACCACAAATGATCCACCTGCCTTGGCCTCTCAAAGTGCTGGGATTACAGGTGTGAGCCAACCGTGCCCAGCCTGGATGGCATTTTTGAAGCACAGAAATCAACTCTGGATTTCTTAAGTAAGGGATTAGTGTCCACATGGCATAACTCATTTTGTTGAATTTACTGTCCTTGCAGTCAAAAGTATTCCTGCCTGCGACATCTACAAAGAACAATTTGTTTTTGATCTTAAATCTGATTCCTTTGCTTTGTCACACTAGAGATTCTTCTACTGCCTCAGAGGAGGGGTTCTACTGAGCATCAGTTTGAGAGTAGGTCTGAAGAAGAGCCTAAACACTCACTGTGTTTCATTATAAACTCTCCACTGTTTATAGCTTCTTATAGTGATCATTATGAATAGCTACTTGAAAGAACACTGTGACTATAAATCTCTTTGATGTATATTAATGTTATTTAACTTTAATTTTTTTTTTCACATTACAATTTAATAGACTCCCATCTGGTGTGGTTTTAGAATTTCTCTACAGAAGAAACTTAAAAACGGCCCTTAAGTGGGAAGTGAGAGCGGGGTCCTGAAACTGCTCTGTACTCTTAAGATTGAGGGCTGGGTGCAGTGGCTCAGGCTTGTAATCCCAGCATTTTGGGAGGTCGAGGCAGGAGGATGGCTTGAGCCCAGAAATTTGAGATCAGCCTGGACAACATGTCAGGATCCTGTCTCTACAAAAAATAGAAAATGAGCTGGGTGTGATGGCACATGTCTGTAGTCTCAGCTACTCAGGAGGCTGAGGCTGAAGGATAGCTTGAGCCCAGAATTTAAGGCTGCAGTGAGCTATGATTGTGCCTCTGTTCTTCAGCCTGGGCTCCTGCTTGGGCCTGCCTTAGCTGCTCCCCATCCTCTGATAAAGTCAACTGAATACTGAATGCTTTATAATCTTTTTTTCATAAATGATTTCCTTTTTACTCCCCATTCCATGATAAGGAAAACTAAGTGCTTCTCAATTTTTTTTTCATCAATTATTATTATTATTTTTGAGAAACTGGGTCTCACTTTGTTGCCCAGGTTGGTGTACAGTGGTGTGATCATTGCTTACTTCAGGCTCAAATCCTGGGCTCAGCTGATCCTCCTGTCTTCCAAGTAGCTAGGACTACAGGCACAAGCTATCACTCCCGGCCAACTTTTAAATTTTTTGGCGAGATGGCATTCTCACTATATTTCCTAGGCTGGTCTTGAACTCCTGGCATCAAGCAATCCTGTCACTTCGGCCTTCCAAAGCACTGGGATTACAGGCATGAACCACTGGGCCCAACCCAAGGTATCAATTTGGAGGGTTTTATGATGTGAGCCTCTAAAATAGGAAACCTGGTAGAATAATAGGGCATTACATCTGCATTGTCATTGATACTGTCTAAATCACCTTACCTCGCAACATTAGATTATCACTGGCATTTAACTTTAAAATAAATTCAGGCTCAGCAGGCTTACATGACTGCACAAAACACACAGATAAACAGTAGAACCAGATCTGCAACCATGGTCTTCTGCTCATTAGTCTTCCCACTGCATTAAGCTGTTCTCAGCTTAGAGATGGAGTGTTTAGGATTTGGAAGAGTGTGGCTAAGAAGGAAGGTTCCTGGTCATTAAAAGGAGCCTTTTAACAGCACGAGCCTTTTCCTGCCAGAGAAGAGGAACAAAACACCAGAGGTGTTTGTGGGGTAAAATGGATCATCTCATCACTCAGTGGATCTGAGTATCCAGCTCCATGTCATGACAACATATTTAACCAGAATATTAACTGGCTTCTGCCCTGTATGTGCCCAAGTGATACTGACCAGTGTTAACCAGGAAGAACTTTTGATCTTTGAGGAGGATGGAGAAGAGGCAGGCGTGTCCTCCAAGTCGCCCCATACAAGTGGTTTGGAAGAGAATGTCTTCAACTTCTCAACAGGCATGTCCTCTCCGAAAAAGGGTCCTTGTCCCAAAGAAAGAGAAGAGTGTCTGCAGCAGCAGGCTGGCAGGCCAAGCGAGTGGAGGGTTTCAAGTCAAAGGCAGTGCTGGGTTTTCCAAGCCCAAAGGGAAACCAAGCTCCAGAGGAGACACGGAAAGTTCGAGCAGAGCCAGAGTGGGAGTGAAGGGGAAAGAAAGCAAAAGGAAAACTCATGTTGACAGACTGACTAAAAAGGTTCATACATAAATGTGAAGAGAAGGTGATTCTGACTTCTCCACTCAGGACCGGGGTAATGACGTAATCAGCGTAAGTGAGACAGAGTGGTCTGGCACACATGCCAAGAATGTGGGCTGGAGGGGTCTGGGTTATTCCAGGTTGCCATGGTTTTAGCCAAAAGCAATAGAGCCAGGCAGGGAAAGGAGGCAGCCTTATGCCTCCAGGATGTCAGCACATACTCTGAGGTCCAGGACAAAGGAGTCTTGTTTGTTCCCTTACCGTGTTGGCCAATGAGCACAGCGAGGCATATAGTGTAGTGTTCAAAGGCACAGGGTCTACAACTGGACAGCCTGGAGTTCAAATCCTGGCTCCGCCATTTACTTGCTGTGTGATTTTGGGCAAGTGACTTAACCTCTCGGTGTTGCACAGTGTTCACCTGTAGGCTAATCAGAGCACCTGATAGGGTGATTGTGAGAATTTAATAAGACATAGTCTGAAAGGTGCTTAGCCTAACAGCTGGGACAGAGTCAAAGCTCAATCTTTACCTATTCTTTTTCATAACAAAGTATGTACTGGGGCGAAACCAGAAAGACTAAAAGAAGTAGGAGAGCAGTCAACACTAATTTTGTATGTATCATAAAAATGCATTGAATCAATGGATGGGGATGACGTGAAGACTAAAAATAGAGTCTGGGCCAGGCACAGTGACTCACACCTGTAATCCCAGCACTTTGGGAGGCCAACATGGGAGGACCATTTGAGGTCAAGAGTTTGAGACCAGCCTGGGCAACATAGTGAGACCCCCTCTCTCCAAAAAATACAAAAAATATTAGCCAGGTATGGTGGTGCTCACTTGTAGTTCCAGCTAAGGCTAAGACAGGAGTTTTGCTTGAGCACAGGAGTTTAAGGTTATAGTGAGCTACGATAGCACCACTGCACTCCTGCCTGGGTGACAGAGAGACACTGCCTTAAAAAAAAAGAGAGAAAAGAAAAAGAAGAAGAAGAATCAGTACCATCAGTCTCAGATAAGAAAGCAGATGACATTGTCTGGAATATTTTTACTAAGGAAATGTTTGGTTTGAGTTAGGTCAGGTTGAAGTGAGAAATTTTGAACCCCCAAACTACCACCTGGAAAAAGGAGACACTGTGTGACACAGCTTTTCAAATAAATGCTCACACATGGAGAGATATCTTTGTTTTTAAAAAGCAGCAATTGTCATACTATAAAATATGACTCCAGAAAGGGCTGTGTCATTAACCATCTGACCCAAGGCAGATGGTTAAACTTCCTCACACCTTTCCTGATCCATAATCATACAGGGAAAACAATCACACCAACTTCACAAGGTTGTAATGGAGATCGAATCAATGAATCTGCATCAAGGTCTTAGAAAAATGGCAGGCACAGTGTTACCTCTGTTTATTCTAGACCACAAAAGCCACCTGTGTGTGTCGTGCCAGTGTCACCAACTCACCCACGATCTACCACGTCATAAGAGCCACCTTTAATATTTCGTATCTTCTTCCAATCTTTCCCCATGCATATGTAGTCATGAAAACATTTATCTATTTCTCAGAGAAAGGATTCCTCTGTAACAGTTTCTTAGGGACCTGCTTTTTCACCTAGCAACCTATGGCAAAACGCTTCCCACTTGCCATAGGTTTCTAGGTGTCTCCACCACCTTCAGGGATCATGATTACCCTCTCTGGGAGTTTGCTCTGGGTCTCAGCAGGGGCAGCACCTGTTTCAGCAGAGGCTTTTCATGTCTCAGCTGCTGCTTCTCACTCTCCCAGGTGCATCTGCTCGCCTGCCTGCTGCTCCCTTCCTGGCTCTGCAGGCCTGTGACCCCTCCCTGTAGGGAAGCTGCATCACACTAACCCCCACAGAGGGCTCAACAGGGAAGTGTTACTTTCTTGTATTGCTTATCTCTCAATTTTCCAAAATAGCACCAACCAGTGCGGTGGCTCACACCTGTAATCCTAGCACGTTGGGAGGCGGAGGCAGGTGGATCACCTGAGGTCAGGAGTTCGGACCAGCCTGGCCAACATAGTAAAACCCTATCTCTACTAAAAATACAAAATTAGCCAGGTATGGTGGTGCATGCTTGTAATCCCAGCTACTTGGGAGACTGAGGCAGGAGAATTGCTTGAACCCAGGAGGCAGAGGTTGCAATGAGCTAAGATTGCACCATTGCACTCCAGCCTAGGCACCAAGAGCAAAACTCCATCTTAAAAAAAAAAAAAAAAAGATTAAGGAGAACATAAGAAGAGGCCCGGTGCCATGGTTCATGCCTGTAATCCCAGCACTTTGGGAGGTGGAGGCAGGAGGATTGCTTGAGCCCAGGCAATCGAGACAAACCTAGACAACATGGCAAGACCTCATCGCTAAAATAATTTGTTTTAAATGAGCCTGTATTGTGGCACACATCTGTGTCCCAGCTACTTGAGAGGCTGAGGTGGGAGGATCACTTGAGCCTGGGAGGTAGAGGTTACAGTGAGCCACGATTGTATCACTGCACTCCAGTCTGGGATACAGAGTAAAACCCTGTCTGCAAAAAGTTACAATATA